AGACGCTGTGCACTCTGACGGACCTAGATCGATACCTATACTTCCCTGGCCCTCGAGACGCTGCTGTACTCTGGTAGGCGCTGGCGCATGCTGGAAGACGTTCAAGGACGCTGGCAGACGCGAGTTCGACACGTTTTCCTAGTCTCTGACGCTGCCAGACGGGAACGCTGGTGGACGCTATTGGTTGCTGGCGGACGCTGCAGCAAAGCATGAACGCGGCCTTGTTAATGATCTTGTAACATGGTAATGTTCCACGAGTAACGAGTTCCCTGCCATGTTTAAATGCTACGCCTACTCTGGCTCAGGGATAATGAGTGCACATGTGAACAACAAAGCATATAAAATTATCAAAACGCCCCACATAAGGTCCTTCTTATCCCATATGAGGGGCATTGCGCTATTGAGAAATCCCTTACTAGCTAGAGCAGTATTCGAAGCGCGCAACTCTGGCAATTTCGAGTTTTTTTTTCGCTACTTTATGTACGGTAATTTTGCACGTCTTCCTCATTTTTCTTGTCGTCACATAGTTGATCGTTTCAGGATTCTTCCGAATTGATATGAGTGAAGTTCCCGAGGAGGTTGTTGCCGGTATCATGTAGATCTTCACTTCTCCATCACTACGGAGGGTTGAAACGGATATTAAGAATTTATTGTTGAGAATTTTCCCGGTACAATTTGCAATTGACACCATTTTATGATATCAATGATTTCTCTTTAATTTTTTTTGTTTTGTTACCTGAATTTTGATTCGTATCACAAAATCACTGTGATCTGATTACGATCCTAGTAGGGACCACAAAAGTCGGTAGGCTACCTGCTGACATAAGGGCTGTATTTCGATGCAATAGCGCCGTGGTTGCATATGGTGAAACCAGTCGAGAACAGTTGTCCATTTGGAGGCATAAGGCACGGTAATTTGGCATTGCCGTGCCGTATAGAGGAAAAGTTATGAAAAAGCGGAGGTAAAAGGCTAAAACCCTGCTGAAACAGTTGTCCCGCACAGCATTGGACGGGCATTTTCGGACGAGTTTCCCGTTGGCATCGTGCCACAACCGCTTTAGCACATTCCGGACCGCCGTTGTGCGAGGATCTTCTCATCATCTCATCACTTCTTGGATCGGTAATCAGCAGCTTCTAAATAGACAATATGTAACAGCGCGACGAGGGAAATGTATGGCACACCTTGTGTGTCATGCGGCGACACGTACTGGCAGATATGGCTGCACGTATATATTCACATATCCGCTTAGCAACGCTTCATTTCAAT